CCGGAATAGAATTTTTATGATTCCAACAGCTCCGTATGGTGATTTTGGACTTAGGAGCGTGTTCGGAATTTTATTTGGAAGTTCGTAGTTAAATTAGGCTTAAAATGGATAAAATAGGAATTTAAAGTTTGGAAGTTTGATCGGGAAGTTGACTTTTTGATATCGGGGTCGGAATCCAGTTCTAAAACTTTTCACAGCTCCGTTATGTCATTTATGACTTGTGTGTAAAATTTGAGGTCAATCGGAGTTGATTTGATAGATTCTGACATCGAATGTAGAAGTTAAAAATTCTTAGTTTCATTAAGCTTGAATTGGAGTATGATTCATGATTTTAGCGTTGTTTGATATGATTTAGAGGTTTGACTAAATTCGTATGATGTTTTAGGACTTGTTGGTATATTTGGTTGAGGTCCCGAGGGCCTCGGGTGAGTTTCGGATGGTTAACGGAATAAAAGTTGGACTTAAAAAGCTGCTGCAATTTTCCCTTTTGCTGTATATTCTGGGCTGTGATCGAGCCCTGGTATCGAGCCCAAGGTTGACGAGGCTCAGGCTCGAGCTTGAGATCGAAGCCACGATCAAAGGTAAGGCTCGAGGGCTAGGATCGAGACCCATGCTCGATGCCCTAATCGAAGGCCCAGCCTCGATGCCCTGATCGAAGGCACATGCTCGATGCCCTGATCGAAGGCCCAGCCTCGATGCCCTGATCGAAGGCACATGCTCGATGCCCTGATCGAAGGCCCAGCCTCGATGTCCTGATCGAAGGCTCATGCTCGATGTCCTGATTGAAGGCCCATGCTCGATGCCCTGATCGAAGGCCCAGCCTCGATGTCCTGATCGAAGGCTCATGCTCGATGTCCTGATTGAAGGCCCATGCTCGATGCCCTGATCGAAGGCCCAGCCTCGATGTCCTGATCGAAGGCCTAACCTCGATGCCCTGATCGAGGCCATGATCGAGGTCCAGGCTCGAGCCTGTGATCGAAGCCGCGATCGAGGCCCAGTTCGAGGACCAGTTCCGAAGGCTGCAGGGCAGTTTTATAAAAAGGGGACATTCGTCCCATTTGCCATTTTTGACGAACTTGAGCTTGAGCAGAGGCGACTTTTGGGCAGATTTTCAAGGGAAAAACATTGGGGTAAGTGATTCTAACTCGGATTTGGTCTACATATACAAGTATATCATTGTTTTCACCATAAATTAGTGTTTTGAGATTTAAATTTGGGAAAATTTTAGAAATCTCATAGAAATGAAGTTTTGAGATTTCGGTATCGATTCGGAGTCGGATTTGAGTGAAACTGGTATCGTTGGACTCGTAATTGAATGGGTTGTTAGATTTCATAATTTTTGCTGGATTTCGAGACGTGGACCCCACGGACGAAGTTTTTATAAATTTCGGGATCTTTATTAAAAATATAGTATTTTCTTATAGAACTGATTCCTATAATATTTAGTGATTGTATTAAATTATTTTGGCTAGATTCGAGCCAGACAGAGTTGGATAATCATGAAAAAGGCCTTATAGTGGATTAGATTGGAGCAAGACGAGGTAAGTCTCTTGTCTAATCTTGTGAGGGAAAAATTACCCTATAGGGATTAAATTTGAATAATTGTTGCTAATTGCGGGGGCTACGTACGCACGAGATGACGAGAGTCCGTGCGTAACTACTATTAATGCTAAAGTCCGGCTAGTTTAAGACTCAAAGCATGAATTACTTCTGTGATTTGTATTCTTTATTATTTAAAATAATTGATGTATATATTATGAATTGTTATGAAAAGTAGAAAAATATGAAATTTTAATATGCTTAATTTTTGTTTAAATCAATTAATTGTTAAAAAAATTGTTCTCCTCCCAAATTCATCTTATAATAAATATACTCTCTTTCCGGAGGCATATAAGAAAATGATCTCCTTTCTTGTGGAGCGGGCCGAACGCCTCGGCAGGATAGATGCATCTATGGATCGCGCCGCACGTCCCTCGGCAGTGTACACGACACTCTGGATCGGGCCGTACGTCCTCGGCAGAAATCGTGCTTAATAATAATAATTACACGATACTTTAATAATTTATTTCAGCTTGTGAAGCTAATTAATAAATTGAAAAATCCTTAAAATTTAATGAATTATTATTCTTGCTTGTTAAGAAATTAATTGTTACTCCTGTAAATGAAGTTTAATTGATAAATTAAAAATTATTTGAATTGAAGGAATTTAATTAATATATTAAGAATTGTTATATTTGAAGGAATTTGATTATTTCTGCTGATTAAATAAATTATTGTAAATTCTGTAAATCATGCTGATTTAAATATCCTAGTTTTATTTCAGTTATTATTATTGACCCATAGTGAGTGTCAAAGTCGGCCATCTCGTCTCTACCACTTCGAGATTAGGCTTGATACTTACTGGGTACACGTTGTTTACGTACTCATACTACACTTGCTACACTTTTTGTGCAGGATCTGAGACAGGTACTAGTAGAGGACCTATCATCACATACCCGCGTCATCCCGAGGCATAGTGGTGAGCTGCCTTTCTGAGCCGTTCTGCAGCTACCAGTGTCTCTTCTTATATTTATATTCTGTCTATTTCATTTCAGACAGTATTTGAAGTTTTGTATAATATACTAGATGCTCATGCACTTGTGACACCGGGTCTTGACACACACACATTGGTAGAAGTTGGTATTTTATTATTTTTTTTGGAATAAAAGTTTAACCAATGTACGTTTGACTTATTAGTTGGCTTGCCTAGCTGTAGTGTTGGGCGTCATTACAACCTATAGGTGAAATTGGGTCGTGATATGAGCACTCTTATCGATTTAAGAGGTTTTCTTGATATTGTTGAGTATAGATGCACACCCTTATTTAGTTGCCTTCTATGTGAGAATGGCTCTATTTGGCACGTGAGTTGTCAGTGCGGTTACGAAGTGTAATTAGGGCACAGGATGCCAAGTATTAGGGTTCAGGTATTGGGACCCGTGAGTTGTGAATAGTGTGAGGTTCGGTACCTCGTGGAGTTTATTGATTTAAACTTGATGTGAAAACAGTTGTTGTGGTTGAGTGATTACTTGTCCTTTCTGTATCTGTGATTTCGGATTTATGTTGCGTTTTCCATTCATCCTTTTGTGTCATTATTTGGTATTCCGCTGATACTTGTTGTTGTCCTTTCTTATTGCAATTACTGTATTATCAGCCATATCGCGTAGTCCTTAAGTAGATATCATACTCTGTTGTTCCTATTCTCATATTTGTTCAGGTTATTTAGTCCAGTGGCTGTCTTGACTGTTCCTCGTCACTACTCCACTGAGGTTAGTCTTGATACTTGTTGGGTACCGTTGTGGTATACTCATACTATACTTCTGCACATTTTATTGCAAACCCAGGTATTTCAAAGTTAGTTGATCATTAGCTAGCTGTGCGGACTGTTGCTGTGGAGACTCAAGGTAAAACTGTTATTGTGTTCGCAGGCTTCGGAGTCACCTTCTGATTTGTATTCACGTTGTTTACTTTATTTCAACCAGTTGTAGTTAGAAAATTTTAACAAACTCTGTAGAGCTTATGACTTGCACTATCAGTTTTGGGAATTGTAAATTTTATAGAGATTTCTATTTCAAAAATTGTTAGATGTTATTTAATTATTATTGTTATTCAGTAAATGTTAGGCTTACCTAGTCCCTAAGACTATGTACCATCGCGATACCCAACGGAGGGAAAATTGGATCGTAATTAACATCCAACCTCGTTGCACTTATGGTCTCTACACGGTCAAGTAGGGGAGTTTAGAAGGCACCGGCGTTTTATTGTTATACTCTACAAAGTATGCAATATGCGTACACTTATACCAGTTTTCTAGCATAAAAGAGTGGAGTATAATTTTTCAAATGATAATCAACGTAACACCAAAAGAATTTCTTAACGGTAGATTAGCATAGAAGAAAGAAAGTTCCTAACTCTTCTTGTTATTAGCTATAGTACTAACACAAAAGAAGAAGAAAATAATTAAAGGAAAAGCCGTGAACGACAAAGACATAACAAAGAGCCAATGGGATATCCAAAAGATCACATTCAACTCCATTGATATCTTCCTCACACTTTGAATGTTACAAGTATAGTATAAGTAATAGGGAGCAGAGATTAATCTCACCATCGCACATTCTAATTAAAAAGAAATTCAAATTCAGGGGAAAAAAATAATAAACCAATAGAAAAATACTAAAGATGGAAGGGAGAAAACCTTAGAGCGAAAATGTTTTGAAAATTTCCCAAAATATTAACTATCTGCAATGGAATTTCATTTTCAATTGTATATTTAGGAATGCAAGTACAGAGAGTAGAAAAAAGAATTAAAGTAAAAGAATATGTCATTTAATTATAAATAAAGTATAAAGGGTTATATATTCATATTTTTTTACACTAATTAATTAGAGTAAATTGTCCTTGTTTGCTTCTGTAGAATGCTCCTCTGCTGTAAGGAACTCTTTTTAGTCAGTAAAATATATTGGGTAGAAAAGTTTGAGTCTTAATAAAATGATTATTATAAATGTTTTGACACCACAATACCTTTTTTATGCAATTTGTGATGTGCCCACATGTCATTTTTTTCTTCTAACATTGATTAAGTTGAACCTTCTCATTGCACTTGAATACGACCAGGCAAAGACTAAAACGACAAATGGTGGCAATCCAACTAAAGAATTGTGGACTTCCGATAACAAAGACAGTCGCAGTACACATTTAGTGATAAGTCAAAGTCGAATTACGCTAATAATTCATAGATAACTGCACAAGAAATACGCACACCCAATTTTTAAACCTTTCTTCTAATTTTTAAGGATTAAAAAGTAAAAACCTTGGCCACTGCTATGACTTCAGTACAAAGCAAGATTAAGCAACAAATCTGTAGTTGGTAAGCCAAGAAACTATAGGAAGAAAAATAAAAATGGGCTACCTGACCATTTTGTTCGAACTGTTGCCACTTGAAGAACCAAAATCAAGAAGAGATATAAAATGGAAACCAAGTCCATTCCCTTCGCCTATCATCAAAAATCTTCTTAAGTTTTTCTCTTTATTTTCTCCCCTATTCAACACATAATTTTTAATATCTTCAGCAATATTTTCAGCAAAAGGAAAAAAAAAGAATATTACTCTCCTTTTCAAATTACACTCTTCTTCATACTATTCATATCTCCATTCTTACTCCTCTAATTTTTTCTGCATATTATCATACTTGTCCTCTAAAAATTTGACATTCCCAGGAAATACATTTTCCTTGATTAGCTCCTCCTCCCATTTCAGTACATCAATCACTTTCCCTATAAATAGAAAAGACATCAGCAAAGAGAAAAAGAAAACAGTGGAGCGCCACCATACAGGTACACCAAAGGAAATAAAAAATATACAAAATCATATTCAAAGATGGAATTTCGAGTATCGTTCATTGCATTAGAACCATAACGGTACTCATAAAACACATTCATATTGCAGTAAAGGGAAAAATATAAACGAACCTAATTTGTTGACATTGTTTGAACCATTGTGAGAACCAAAAGTCACTCGTCAGCACGCTCGCTTGAAATGGTGTCACTGGCAGATTATTGGTAGTATGCTTGTATGCTTTGGTGGGTCTGAGGATGAATGGAGAATTATTAGGAGAATGATAGTTGGAAAACTCAAACGACTAACCCATGTCATGAACGGAAGAAAGGTTGGGAATTTTACCTTGGACGAAGCTCTGAGCCTCTGACCTTTGCGAGAAGACTCGCACAGAACGTGGGGTGTGTAATGTGTTAAAGAAAACAAAACGGCTATGTGGAGTTTTATTGTCAAAGGGCAAAACTAAACGGTTATTGGGCTTAATGTTTTGGGCCATTAAGTAGTATTTATTATTTTAAGTAGTGGGCTAATAAAAATAAATGAATTGGAGTGAAATAACAAAAACAATTCAAAAAATCAGAAAAAGATTAATAAGAAAGCTGGCTATAGAGGGATGCCACATCAGCTGGCCAATTCCCAACTTTATATATATATATATATATAGAGATAGATTTTACCTCCTATAGCAAATTATTACACCTTATTTATTATAAACCAACACAATTTCAAAATATTATTACTTATAGCTACCTTTTCTATTTATAGTAAAATAGGTATTTATTTTATACCCTACCATTGAGGTGTGAATACGCCAGTTATGTTCTCTCTATCTCTCTCTCTCTATCTCTCTCACCCTCACCAAGATTCTCAATCTTCTCTCTTCTTCCTCAAATCTCTCTCTTTTTTTCCATCAAAGCAGCTGTCGTAGCAGCCATTTTTGGTGGCAATGGTGGACTTTCTGAAGCGAAGAGAATAGATCTGGAGCGAAACGGGAGTAGGTGAACAAATCTGGCCATGGATACGGATTGAGCTTTTGAAAATCTGAAGCAGAGTCGCCGAAGAAGATTTGAGGACCGGGTTTTTGTTCGTCTGCATTTGCGAAGAGTGCGTTATGACCCGTGGCCGCCTACCTGGTGGGGGCGTCTCCTCCGTTGTGTGTAAATGGAAAACCTTTTTTAGTTTTAATACAATGTATACAGTATTTTTCTTGGCCGAAAAATGCCATCTCTGGCGAACTTTCTTCTCTTCTTTGCTATTGAGTCACATACAATGATACAAATACATTGTATTTTATTCAAATACACTAAAATATACTATATTTTTGTATAAATATATTATTCTTTCGCCTGTATTTTGTGTATTCCGAAGGTCTGTATTTTTTGCATACAGCCGAATATCACAATTAACTTTCTTCTCTTCTTTGCTATTGAGTCACATACAATGGTACAAATACATTGTATTCTATATAAATACACTCAAGTATGTTGTATTTTTGTATAAATACATTATTTTTCGCCCATATTTTATGTATTCCGAAGGTCTGTAATTTTTTTAATACAGTCAAATATCACTTTTTGTGATTTTTTGTTATGTGAATACAGTCAAATTGAATATGGTGAATTGAATACAATGTATAATAGTGAATAATGAATATCGATGAATTGAATATAATGTATACAATCGAATTGAATAGAACGGTATACACCCTATATCTTGATTTTTTGTTGTTTTCAATACAACTGAATTCAATATAGTGAAATTGAATACAATTCAATATTGCGCTTTTTGTTATTAAATACCCGTAATCACTATTTTTTAAGCGTATTATCTCATTGTATTTATAAATACATTCACGCGAATACATGGAATACATAATTAAACAGTTGTAATCCCTGTTTTTTAGGCTGATTACCTCATTGTATTTATAAATACAGTCGCGCGAATACATGGAATACACCACAGCCGCAACAAAAAAATGTAGAATTAATTTTGTTGAGTTAAATCAGGAGTGATACACGCTAATTGATCCACTTTCCGTTATTAAACATCTGCACTCCATACTTATTAGGCGAATTTCGCGATTGTATTCATGAATACAGTAGCGCGAATACAGCAAATACAGTCTGGTAGCAATGAAATTTTGTAGACTTAATTTTGTTGAGTTAAATTAGGAATGATACGCGTTATCCTCTTTCCGTTATTAAACAGCTGGACTCCCTTCTTATTAGGCGAATTTCGCGACTGTATTCATGAATACAGTAGCGCGAATACAACGAATACAAACCGATAGCAACGAAATTTTGTAAAATTGATTTTGTTGAGTTAAATTAGGAGCGATACACGCTAATTGATCCTCTTTCCTTTATTAAACAGTTGGACTCCTTACTTATTAGGTGAATTCTGCGAATGTATTCATGAATACATTAGCGCGAATACGGCAAATAAGTTCGGTAGAAACGAAATATTAGCTGTAGGAAGTAAATATGTATATGGTAGCTATAGGAAGTTAATAGCCACTAAACTATAGTGGTTGCTGAAAAATCCTCTTGTTCTTTTAATTGTATTAACCCGTAATATTTTTTCTTAAACGCTCTGTATTTGAAAATCGGGTTTGGTGAAATCGTTACTTGTTTGAATTGGGTGTTGTTGCAAATAATTGGTACTATCATTGGGAGTTTATATCTCAAATTTACAAAATTATATTTAAGTAGTATATAAATTATAATTTTTGACCGGATTGTATATTTTGTAAAAAAAACGTTATTTTTGTTTGTAAATAGGGAAATCTAGCTAAATCAGGTAAATAAATTCAAAGTTTTATATATGTACAAAACAATTCAAAACCAAAAAGCATTATTAAAAAGCAATTGAATGACGCGATGGATGACCCATAAGTTATTTACTGTTTGTTCTTTTCAACGAAAAAAGCCTTCAACATAATGTAGAGCAATCAATCTGACCCCCCGAGACAAAAAAATGTATTGCAAGAGTAGAATGATAATCCACTCGAAACAGTATACAGTCAGACATCTTTATAACAGTATCTCTATATAATAATATTTTACTATAAAAGTTAAGTTTTTCCGAAACCAATTTTCATGTTATGTTATAATATATGTTCTTTATAACAGCACTTTGCTGTAACATCCAAAAATATTCGGAACAAACAAGACTGTCATAGAAAGGTTTGACTGAACTCCAAAAACTAATACATGAGTATACTTTTATATTTTCACTAAACCAAGGAAAAAGGCTCATGCTAAAATCGAAAAAAGAAGTGAACCAAAGGAACTCAAATAATTACCTTTAATTTAGTTAAAAGTTCCACAAATATGCTAAAATAAAATGTTGAAGAAGAAAAAACTCTACAAAAATGTGAACCATTTCTTCCATTTGTTCTTCGTACCAGTGTTTTAAAGGCAAGGGCATGAGGCGAGAAATTTTACTTAATATGGGAGGAGACGAAAGCCTTGAGACATGGGGAGTAAGCCCCACGGATCTTTACTTTTTAAAATTTATGAATTCATAATATAGCATTATAACACAAAAAAAATATAAAAGATACATTGAAAGTTCAAGAAAACCAAAAAGAATTAAAGAAACTCATATAAAATAAAATATCTAGCATATTTTACAAGTATAAATAATGCAATACTGTTAAAGTTACTATGAAATATAAATTAACTAAAACGTCTTAACTTTCAAATAATTAAAAATTATAATTTCTTAAAAAATATTATCAAACCGCATATTTTACCTCCTTAAAAGTAAATACTCAATAAATATAATCAACATTGTAATTTAAAATATTACTCTGTCATGAGTAAATATAAAATTATTTTTAAATAGTAAAATAATAAATATATGATAATTTGCAGAGACATAGAACTAAGATATGAAGATCTATCAAGTAAGATATAAATTTTGGTTATCTATTTTTAGAAGAAATATTCAAATGATATTCACCCTCACAATATTCTCAATTAGTGAATATGCTATATTATGGTTCGTTATTTGAGTTATTCACAATTTTTATATTCCTTTAGATTAAAAAAAAACTTTAATCAATCATTTGTTAAAGAATTTTGAGAGTCAACAGTGCTAATTAGTGAATTCAACACATGATTTGCATAGGAATTGTTGGGCGAATCCCGAACGTTGAGCGTTAGGCGCGTTTAGGGCGTACAGTCTGGCGCTTGGGGGCATAAGCCTCGATGAACTAAGCCCCACACATAAGTCTCAAGTCTCGAGACAAATCCTAAAAAAAACCTTTCAAAACACTGCTTCATACTACTTTGTTTCCATTTTCTTATTTTTGCAAAACTAAATAACCTAATTTAAACATAGCAAAACTATTCTCGTCTCACCGAAGTTACCTCAATTCAAATTTTGTAGGTTCGACTTTTAATCATTTAAACAATTTAATTAACTGTATAAAGCATCTCCTTGCAAACAGAATTTTTGTATCTTTATTTTGGTAAATTCAGAGTTTTTTACCTAAACAAAAACCCCCTCAATTTGTCTCCATCTTTAGTCATATTTCACTTGCCAACAAATTAATCTTTAATTGAAATTTTTAAAGATGTTTACCATCTTTTTCAAATGAGAAAAAATTATGCCTACATTTTCCGAATATTTAGCTTTATTATCAAAAAATGCAGTTAAAATAGCACGGGCTAGCCAGTTTTCGGACTGGTCATTCAAAAATAGCCAGCGTTTGTCAAGTCATTGAGAAATAGCCATAATTTTGCTGTAACAGAGACAGGTCCAGCATAATATACTGGAGTTCGGTGCATTTGTGTATGAACTTCCAGCATATTATGCTGGACCGGTATACTTTGCTGGCTCCAGTATAATATATTGGAGCTCCAGTATACTTTGCTGGAACTCCAGTATATTATACTGGAACTTGAGTTCCAGCAAAGTATACTGGAACTCCAGTATATTATACTGGAATTTCAGTATATTATGCTGGAGTATTTTCCGGATTTTGAATAGTGTTTTCGTTCAGATTTATCTTTACATGAAAAGTGGCTAAATTTCGATCACTTTTGAAACTGTGGCTATTTTTGAATGACTACTTGTAAATCTAGCTATTTTTGAAGTTATTCCAAAAATGCATTGTACTAACTTCATTTTCAAAAGATGATTAAATCTATGTCCAATAAAACTTCAAAAAAATTAGTAATAAATGAACTCTTGATAAACAAAATAGAACTACCGAAAAACCTAAAACGTACATGTATATCTAAGAATAGGGACCGTTTGATCCATACGAATTCCCACCTTTGTTTGAGTTTTTTTTACACGATTGATCCTTTTTTGACTATTATTTAAAAAAAATAGTATTATTTATTGTTTATTCCATAAAGAGCACTTTTGTTTTCATTATTAGCATATTATAAAAATTA